CATGGAAAACCAATTATTTTAAATTTAATAAAGCATTTTTCTCTCAGGCTCAAACAGTAGAAGCAGCCCAGAGTAGAACTTAATGTGTAAATTACAAACTTCTGAAAACAAAGGCTACAATGAAGATATTGCAGGATTTTTCTTATTCTCTAATGCTTTAGCCAATGTATTTCTAAAAGTCCTAGGAGACTACTTTCTGAGCTTGCTCTCTTCACCAACCAAGTAACTCAAAACAGGTGAATCATTTTCTTGAATCTTAGCCTAAATTTTTCCTTGGAAATTTCACTTGATATGACATGCTTCATATCAGCCCAAATTTTATTCTAATATTGACTGCCTGGATATTCCACATTTCATGGCCCATTTTTAAGTTGCAGCTTAAACCTTTTTCTGCTTCCAGGTTCTGATGAACACATGCTTTCTGTATACATGAGCTCCGTGAAATCCTCTTCCATCATGTACAATCTTCCCCATCCAGCAGGCTCAGCCTGGTTTGAGAACATGAAAGCTTAGAGTCATAGTTGGTCTCTGGCTCCACACAATGGCAGGAGTTGTCATTCTTGTTTTCTTCTGTTGAGTGGACCTCAGTCTAACAGCATGGGTTTGGGACACCCATAAACAGGTCAAATCCCAGCTCTGCCAAGGCGCTTTACCTTTCTGAGGTTCAGTCTTCTTGCCTATAAAATGGGCATAATGATGACAATCTGTGCAAAGCAAATGGTAGGATGTGGTACATCATAAGTGCCAATTAGCTACTATTAATATTCTTGAATTGCGATTGTCTCCTGGAGCTGCAGAGCAGTTAGCTGTTAAGTATGCCAGAACTTACAATGATCAGTTTTGTGGACTCTCACACCAGAAGACATGTAGGAAAGGATTTAATCTAAGCCTTCCCTTTTCAGCCCTGGAAACAGAGCTCTGATAAAGCTGTCTTTCTCCAGTGCTGGTTGCTTCAAGAACACCGACCAATAGCTTTCCCTGGCTCTCCAGGCAAGTCCAGCGCAAAACTGCAAATCCAACCTTCACATCCCTCTAGCTTTGTAAAGCCACTGCATGCCTTCAATTTGGACTTCTTCCCTAGACAAGACCACAGAGGGCAGCAGAAGCCAGGAGGGAACAGAACATTTTTGTCCAGACGTAAGTTCCCTACAGTGGGCAGCATGCCTCTGATGTCCTTTCCATGCACAGAACAATTCCCCCAAAAAACCAGTAGGTGCTTGGTACTGTGGGATAATCAGGAACCTGCAGGTGGCCAAGTGAAGAAAATAGTTCCGCAACTGCTGGAACCCTGCTTTCACCAGGGCTAGGACCAATGCTGGGGCTGGACTAGAAGACCAACTCCTACAAAGCCTCAGGACTACCCAAGTCATACCTCATCCCCTTTAAATGTATTTCAGCTGTGGACTAGGTAGATTCCAAGTATTTTGAATGGCAAATGTTCCCTCATCAATTCAATGGGAGGGGTGGGAGGTGACTTGGATCAAGCAAGGGTAAATTTCAAATTTTGGAAGAGGCATAATAAATCCGTGTTTCTCTAACACTGATGTCTTTTCACTGTGTACTTAATAACATTTGTAAACAAATTTGTCAAAAGTTGGAAGGAGAGCTTTCAGAAAAATCGCAGCTATATTAAACTGAAAGTGTGGTAACTGACATAGTGGCTGGTCATCTATTGCCCATTCAGTCCTTGGCATTGATATCCACAATTGGTGTAAGAACACTGAAAAATTCTGTGCAAATGTGCACCTGTGTTTCCCTTCCACTTTCCAAAATTAGTATCTAATTACATGCAATTATTACTTTTATAGTCATTTGGGAATTTCATGCCATATAGGTTTTTTTTGGGGGGATGGGCTTTCAGTTTTCAATGCTTAAGAAAATCAAAACTTAACATACACCTGCCAGGAGGGTACTATCTGATTCCCTTAGACATTTATGCATGTTAAATTAAGTACTTAATTTAATTTAAGCAATTAAAATTTAGGATGATACTACAGAAAATCTAGGAGAGATAAAAATTCAATCGATCAGGAATAACACAATATGCTTAAAGAGCAAATGCATTAACAAAGACTGTTCTTATTATCATTCATAAGATATTTTTATTCAAAGTATCACCAATGAGGTAGCAAATCTGCAAATTAATTAAGAGCTTCCCAGAGGACAAATATCTCCAAGTTTTTGGAAAGGAATTTATCACGTATTCACCTAAGCAGGAGCTGTAGAAGCCTAGAAATGAGTTTGTCATTTCAGAAAAGATCTAAGCACTTGAGAAATGCTTGGATAAATTCTAAACCTGGAGGATAAAATTTCAGTCAGTATCAGAATGAGCAATAGACCAGAGCCTCACACACTTAAACTGTCTCAGAAAGAGGAGAAATTCCAGTAGTGGTGGGGGGACCTTCCAGTAACAAGCACATGCCGGAATATTTTCAGCAGTCCCTTCACTATTTAACCAGTCTTTGCTGGATTAGCCACAACTCCCTAGACTCAACTTACATCTTCATCCCACAGAGTAAACCCTTTTCCTCTTAATTATCCTCATCAGAAACTCAACACAGATGATTGCCTTCTTCTGCATAATAAATCATTCACATATTTTCAAATGTTAAATGATCTCAACCTTGAATCCTCTAGTCTAAATATCCTCAATTTTTTATCATGTGTCCTAGATCATGTGCACCAACCACATAGCAAACTCAACAAATGTTGCTCCTTTCTCTGACCTCACTCTTTCCAGGAGTATCCATCCACAGCCTCTCTAAACCCTGGAGCTCAGTACTCCACATAGAGCAGAGACTCCTATCACAATCTCTGCAAGAGATTTGGCTCAAAACTCCTGAAGCTTTCACAGTACCAAACAAAAAGGTAAGATGCTACAATTTATACCTACTGCAATAAGAATTGGATTGAGAATTCCAACAAGTCTGAGTGCCTTGTTAACATTGCTGAGGCACTTCACCTAATTATTTTAGGGTTTCATCAGTTTTGAGTACAATAGCCATTCACCTTTGCCAATAGTTTCTTCTAATGCATTATTAAAAGAGGCCTCAAGTGCCACAAAAATTCTGGTTGTGAGTTCCAGAAAAATAATGGGGGAAGGCGAGCGGTAAAAATAGGCTCAAGGCCACACATCATTTTTCCTTTTAAAAGAAATTCTAACTCTAAATTTGCAGCAACAGGATTATACACACACACATATATATATGTACACACATATGCTCATATGTGTGTGTATTTACATTCATATATGATATGTATATACACATATACATGATATATATCATATGTACAGAGCACTTCACTTTATTGGAATTCTTCCTTAGTCATAAATTATATTTCAAATTGGCAAAAAATGTTGATCAGAATTTCAAAAAATTGAAGCATCAAAGTAACCAGCGTGGGGTTTTTCAAGTGTGCTAAAAATTCTCTACAAAATGTGCCGCAACCCACCCACCAAAGATCCCCTCACCCAAGCAGTCAGCGGCGACAAGGGTCAGCATGCCCCTTCATGGTCAGAACGGCAGTGGCTCAAAAGACAATGATTTCAACCAAATATGGTTTGCCTCTCGCCAAATTTTCCACATGTCCAATAAAAGTAAGTTCACAAAAATCCAGCCAAGAGTTACTTTCCCCCGTAAAGTGCTTCTCAGATTATAAAACAGCTTTGAAAGTTCAGCCTGACAAAACAAATATGGTACTAGGAGGAGAGACCTGGAAGGCAATTACAAAAAGTCTCATTTAAATTCCTGGAAAGCACAGCTTCTCCAAACACAGCTATTCAGCTCTTTGGAAGGCAGCGCTTTCGGGAGCCACGAGTTTAACTTCACGCTGTCCCCCAACACAGCACTGGCAAATCCGAAATGAGATGGACGTCACACTTCCTACTCAAAAGAATGCATCAAATACCCACTCTGCAACACCGCGGAAAGTAAACCGAACAGCGGAGTTTAACGCCGGCCAACTGCATAAGAATTAAGACTCCGGTATTTAGGATTCTAAAGATCCTTACTACCTCAAACATTATACCCACAGAGAACCAGAAATCAATAGAACACACTTTAACCTTTAAGAGGTGCAGTTTTGTACGGGAATTGGCTGAAGAAAGACAAAAATCTTCACTCCAAGAGCCAAAATAAAAGAGCACCATTACTAAGCCGTAGGGGCACAACTGTGTCCTCCGGTTCGCTTCTCCAGAATTTCCTGCTTCTTCCCAAACCACCTTCAACATTCCCCACACGAGTCTGGCCACTTATCGAGGAGTGTAACTCCGGCAGAGCAGCGCGCAGGCTGCAGCGCCACGGAGGAAGGCATCACCCACCCTTACCCTCTGCCCTCCCTTACCAATCTTCTCTCCACAGCCGCGCCTCGAAGCGCACGACACCGCGGGCTCGGCGCTCCCTCTGGCCGCGCGGCACTGAACTCAGAGGCGTGCGTGTCACATTTTATTCCCCCGGAGCCTCTCGGGTGCGCGCGCCACGCGCTCCCACACTCACACTGAAGCCCGCTAGAGCTGGGACCCGGGGCCCGGGAGCTCCCGACGCACGCGGCGGAACTTGGGGGCTGCAGAAGGCGAGTGAGCGGCTGGAGTCGTCCTGCCGCGGGCTCAAGTCCTCCTCTTGCCACCCTGGGGGTCTTGGAACTGGCCCGCGTTCGCGTCCCGGGCGGCCTGCGGGATCACTTCCTCTGGGCCAGCGCAGCTCCGCGCTGGCAGCAGCTGCTAGCGCGGGCGGCGGGGCGCAGCGGGTGGCTCGGCCTCAAAGGCGTCAGGGGGCTGCGCTCAGCCCCGAATCGCGCACCTCATTGTTTTGGGCAGCGCTGCTGCGGCTCCCGCGTTTGGAGGGACCGCGGCCTCGAGCCCCAGGGCTAGGCGGCGGCTCTCGGCCCCCGCGCCGCGGCTGCGCCGCGCCCCGCCCCCGAGCTCTGCTCTCCCCCACCGCTTGCCCCAGAGCCCCCTCCCTCTCCGCCATCCCTATTCCCCCTCCCGGCTCCAGGCTCACCTAGCGGGCGGGAGCTGGCCACTGAGAAGTTGAGCTGCCCCCTCCTCGCGCCCCCAGCCCAGCGGCTCGGCCCGCCGGCGAGCGCAGGCGGGGCGCTCCCAGGCTGCGCGCCGATCCCTGCTTCTCGCGGAGAGTGATTGCAGACTTGGGCTGCGTGGGGCGGTGCGGGGCAGCGCTGCTGCCTAAAAAGGCGTGTTTCTCCCCAGCCGCCGCCTCCATCCAGCCCTAGTTCTTCCGAGGGTTACCAGCACAGTACCCGCCTGGCACCTTGCTTGGCATCCCAGGGGCACTCGGGTCCCGGGCGGCGGCGGGGATGCTGGAATGCGCACAGACTGTGGGCGGCGGGGAGGGAGTCGGGGCGCCTGGCCCGGCGGAAGTGAGTCTTTGTGTACCCGCTCCGACACCGCCCTTCGACACTGCCGAAGGCCAAGCTACCTGCGAGCTCGGCAGCCTGCTGGGTGGGGCGAAGGGGAACGCAGCATCCTTCCCGGCTCGCTCGCTCCCTTTGTTCCTCTCGCTCCGCCAGGCTCCACGCTGCCGCCTGGCCCTTGCTCCCGGAGCTACTCTAAGGATCTGGGATGGGCTTGGGAGCGGGCTACCTTCCATTTGCGGGACACCTTCCATTTGGGAAGGGTAACTCGCCAAGTCCGGAGACTGTGCTCCCTGGAGACCCCCACCTGCCTGCTCCTCTCCACTGCCGGTCCCCAGCCCCAAGAGGGACGGAAAGTTCTTGGGGTAGAGGCCGGCGGGACACGAGGTGAAGCGGCCTCGGGAGCTAGTGGGCGGCTGCGGGCCTGGCAGCTGGCAGCTGGGGCCTGCAGGCGGGGCCGCGGGGAGGCGCAGATCCAGTATCTATCTGGTCGCGTGCGGAATGTCCACTTTCACCGTGGCCCTTGCGTTTTCTCTAGGCGGCGGCAGCTGGTCGCGCCGGTCTTTGTTTGCTGGTAAATACTCCTCTGAACTTCAACGTGGCTCTCCGCGCGCGCTCGTGGCATTGGGTGCTCCACCCCGCTGGTTCTCTCGCGAACCCAAAGAGCTGTTCAGGTGTAGGGGAATCCTAGGTAGATAGGTAATATTTCTAAGGTTGGGCCCATCTCAGTGGGACTGGTTAGTCACCCCTTATCCCACCCACACCCTCAGTCGCTACAGGGATACACGTTTTGGAGACAGAAATCTTCGATTAAATGTATTACTTAAAAACCCACAAGTACGTTAATTTAAGTAATTTAGGCTTTTTTTTGGAGGGGGAAGCAATTAACTAGCTACCCAATTCATTCAGCAATCAGTGCCAACCTTGAGCCTGAAACTGAGCTAGACAGTGGGCGCCCCAAGAATTTACAGAAATGTAAAACAACGTGGGAATTAAACTAAAACCGAATGGGTGTAATGCACTGTGCTCAAACAAAAGAGTGGGGCTTACTCGGTGTTTCCCCAATTGTATTAATTGTGTTTGACACTTGGAATTCTGCGGAACTTCCTGAATGGACAATGTGTTACACAGATTTTTAAAAAAGTATATTTTATAAATGTGAAATACATACAATGTGGTTAAAAGAGAAACAATAAATCCTGCAGGAAGACTCACCCTCTTAATAGTAGAGGGGCACAGAGTGGGTTGTAAAGTCTGTGGGCTTCTGTTTCTCGTCTGTATAATGGATTAATAATACCTACCTTCGGTGGGGCACGGTGACTCACGCCTGTAATCCCACTACTCTGGGAGTCTGAGGCGAGTGGATCGCGAGATCAGGAGTTCCAGACCAGCCTGGCCATCGTAGTGAAACTCTTTCTCTACTAAAAATACAAAAATTAGCAGGGTGTGGTGGTGCGCACCTGTAGTCCCAGCTACTGGGGGGCTGAGGCAGGAGGTTGCAGTGAGCCCAGACTGGGCCACTGCACTCCAGCCTGGGTACAAAAAGAGACTCGGTCTCAAAAAAAAAAAAAAAAAAAAAAAAAAGTGCCTAACCTTCAAGGTTTGTTGTAAGAAGTAGAGATCATGTGTTAAAAGTTTCTCCCTCAGTTCCTGAAATGTGATACCTAATAAATTATAGTAATTAATAAATGACAATAGCCATTATTAAAACACTTCACTGTGAAACAGAAAAAAGTATACACTTTTTATGGTGTATATGTATTTTATATACTTACTGTCCTCTTTGCATAAATACTGCCAAAGTTGATGTCTTAAAAAATTTTTAATGAGTTAAATAAAAGTGCCCAAATAACAGTCAACTTTATAGAAGTAGTAAAACTACCATCTTAAGGCAAATATGTAAATTATTGTTGTAAAACTTTAAGTGGATTGAGTTCATGACTTATGATTGAGGTAATAAATAACAGTCACTAAACTGACTTAAATCTATTGCTTCCCAACGAAACCACAAAGCCAGTTTATATTCAAAAAGCTATATGCTGATGATTGCTTCTGTCAAAGTGTAATAGTAAATAAAATATTGTGGCACCCTTTAGTTTAATTGCTCAGAGACACTGGGGCAGATTATTTAATTATTTTATTGATCTATAGATTTGTGAGGAATTCCCGAGGCCTCTGGCACTATACTGTTATTTTCCTTAAAAAATCATGAATATGGGTAAACAACGAAATGAAGGCAGAAATAAAGAAGTTCTTCGAAACCAATGAGAACGAAGACACAACGTGCCAGAACCTCTGGGACACATTTAAAGCAGTCTCTAGAGGAAAGTATATAGCAATAAGTGCCCATATGAGGAGAATGGAGAGATCCAAAATTGACACCCTATCGTCAAAATTGAAAGAGCTAGAGGACCAAGACCAAAAAAACTCAAAACCCAGCAGAAGACAAGAAATAACTAAGATCAGAGCTTAACTGAAGGAGACTGAGACACGAAAAACCCTTCAAAAAATCAATAAATCCAAGAGCTGGTTTTTTGAAAAGATCAACAAAATAGACAGACCACCAGCCAGATTGATTAAAAATAAAAGAGAGAACAACCAAATAGATGCAATAAAAAATGATAAAGGGGAAATCACCACAGACTCCACAGAAATTCAAACCATCATCAGAGAATATTACAAACAACTCTATGCGCATAAGCTAGTAAACCTGGAAGAAATGGACAAATTCCTGGATTCCTGTGTCCTCCCAAGCCTAAACCAGGAGGAAGCTGAAACTATGAATAGACCAATAACAAGGTCTGAAGTTGAGGCAGCAATTAAGAGCCTACCACACAAAAAAAGCCCAGCTCCAGACGGGTTCACAGCCGAATTCTACCAGACACACAAGGAAGAGCTGGCACCATTTCTTCTAAAACTATTTCAAACAATCCAAAAAGAGGGAATCCTTCCCAAATCATTTTATGAGACCAACGTCATTCTGATACCAAAACCCGGCAGAGACCCAATAAGAAAAGAAAACTTCAGGCCAATATCCATGATGAACATAGATGCAAAAATCTTCAATAAAATATTGGCAAGCCGATTGCAAGAGCAAATCAAAAAACTTATTCATCATGATCAAGTAGGATTCATCCCAGGGATGCAAGGCTGGTTCAACATACGCAAGTCTATCAGTGTAATTCACCACATAAACAGAACCAAAAACAAAAACCACATGATTATCTCAATTGACGCAGAGAAGGCATTTACCAAATTCAACAGCCCTTTATGCTAAAAACCCTCAATAAACTCGGTATCGATGGAACGTATCTCAAAGTAATAAAAGCTATTTATGACAAACCAACAGCCAATATCATACTGAATGGGCAAAAACTGGAAGCATTCCCTTTGAAATCTGGCACTAGACAAGGATGCCCTCTTTCACCACTCCTATTCAATATAGTACTGGAAGTTCTAGCCAGAGCAATCAGGCAAGAAAAAGAAATAAAGGGTATTCAAATAGGAAAGGTGGAAGCCAAATTGTCTCTATTTGCAGACGACATGATAGTATACCTAGAAGACCCCATCGCCTCAGCCCAAAAACTCCTGAAACTGATAAGCAACTTAAGCAAAGTCTCAGGATATAAAATCAATGTGCAAAAATCACAAGCATTCGTCTACACCAATAACAGACTTAAAGAAAGCCAAATCAAGAGCGAACTGCCATTCGCAATTGCTACAAAAAGAATAAAATACCTTGGAATACAACTCACAAGAAATGTAAGAGACCTCTTCAAGGAGAACTACAAACCACTGCTCAACGAAATCAGAGAGGACACAAACAGATGGAGAAACATTCCATGTTCATGGTTAGGAAGAATTAATATCGTGAAAATGGCTATACTGCCCAAAGTAATTTACAGAATCAACGCTATCCCCATCAAGCTACCATTGACTTTCTTCACAGAACTGGAAAAAACCACCATGAACTTCATATGGAACCAAAAGAGAGCCCGCATAGCCAAGTCAATTCTAAGCAAAAGGAACACAGCGGGGGGCATCACACTGCCGGATTTCAAACTATACTACAAGGCTACAGTAATCAAAACAGCATGGTACTGGTACCAAAACAGAGATAGAGACCAATGGAACAAAACAGAGGCACCGGAGGCAACACAACATATCTACAACTATACAATCTTTGATAAACCTGAAAAAAACAAGCAATGGGGCAAGGTGTTGGGAAAACTGGCTAGCCATGTGCAGAAAGCAGAAACTGGACCCCTTCCTGACACCTTACACTAAAATTAACTCCAGATGGATTAAAGACTTAAACATAAGACCTGGCACCATAAAAACCCTAGAAGAAAATCTAGGCAAAACTATCCAGGACATAGGAGTAGGCAAGGACTTCATGACCAAAACACCAAAAGCATTGGCAACAAAAGCCAAAATAGACAAATGGGACCTAATGAAACTCCACAGCTTCTGCACGGCAAAAGAAACAGTCACTAGAGTGGATCGGCAACCAACAGAATGGGAAAAAATTTTTGCAGTTTACCCATCTGACAAAGGGCTGATATCCAGAATTTACAAAGAACTCAAACAGATTTACAGGAAAAAAACAAACAAGCCCATTCAAAAGTGGGCAAAGAATATGAACAGATACTTTACGAAAGAAGACATATATGAGGCCAACAATCATATGAAAAAATGCTCATCGTCACTGATCATCAGAGAGATGCAAATCAAAACCACATTGAGATACCATCTCACGCCAGTTAGAATGGTGATCATTAAAAAATCTGGAGACAACAGATGCTGGAGAGGATGTGGAGAAAAAGGAACACTTTTACACTGTTGGTGGGAGTGTAAATTAGTTCAACCATTGTGGAAGACGGTGTGGCGATTCCTGAAGGCCTTAGAAATAGAAATTCCATTTGAC